TAATAATAATAATAATAATAATAATAATAATAATAATAATAATAATATAATAATAATAATAATAATAATAATAATAATAATAATAATAATAATAATAATAATAATAATAATAATAATAATAATATAATAATAATAATAATAATAATAATAATAATATAATAATAATAATAATAATAATAATAATAATAATAATAATAATAATAATAATATAATAATAATAATAATAATAATAATAATAATAATAATAATAATAATAATAATAATAATAATAATAATAATAATAATAATAATAATAATAATAATAATAATAATAATAATAATAATAATAATAATAATAATAATAATAATAATAATAATAATAATAATAATAATAATAATAATAATAATAATAATAATAATAATAATAATAATAATAATAATAATAATAATAATAATAATAATAATAATAATAATAATAATAATAATAATAATAATAATAATAATAATAATAATAATAATAATAATAATAATAATAATAATAATATAATAATAATAATAATAATAATAATAATAATAATAATAATAATAATAATAATAATATAATAATAATAATAATATAATAATAATAATAATAATAATAATAATAATAATAATAATAATAATAATAATAATAATATAATAATAATAATAATAATAATAATAATAATAATAATAATAATAATAATAATAATAATAATAATAATAATAATAATAATAATAATAATAATAATAATAATAATAATAATAATAATATAATAATAATAATAATAATAATAATAATAATAATAATAATAATAATAATAATAATAATAATAATAATAATAATAATAATAATAATAATAATAATAATAATAATATAATAATAATAATAATAATAATAATAATAATAATAATAATAATAATAATAATAATAATAATAATAATAATAATAATAATAATAATAATAATAATAATAATAATAATAATAATAATAATAATAATAATAATAATAATAATAATAATAATAATAATAATAATAATAATAATAATAATAATAATAATAATAATAATAATATAATATAATAATAATAATAATAATAATAATAATAATAATAATAATAATAATAATAATAATAATAATAATAATAATAATAATAATAATAATATAATAATAATAATAATAATAATAATAATAATAATATAATAATAATAATAATAATAATAATAATAATAATAATAATAATAATAATAATAATAATAATAATAATAATAATAATAATAATAATAATAATAATAATAATAATAATAATAATAATAATAATAATAATAATAATAATAATAATAATAATAATAATAAAATAATAATAATAATAATAATAATAATAATAATAATAATAATAATAATAATAATAATAATAATAATAATAATAATAATAATAATAATAATAATAATAATAATAATAATAATAATAATAATAATAATAATAATAATAATAATAATAATAATAATAATAATAATAATATAATAATAATAATAATAATAATAATAATAATAATAATAATAATAATAATAATAATAATAATAATAATAATAATAATAATAATAATAATAATAATAAAATAATAATAATAATAATAATAATAATAATAATAATAATAATAATAATAATAATAATAATAATAATAATAATAATAATAATAATAATAATAATAATAATAATAATAATAATAATAATAATAATAATAATAATAATAATAATAATAATAATAATAATAATAATAATAATAATAATAATAAAATAATAATAATAATAATAATAATAATATAATAATAATAATAATAATAATAATAATAATAAAAAAATAATAATAATAATAATAATAATAATAATAATAATAATAATAATAATAATAATAATAATAATAATAATAATAATAATAATAATAATAATAATAATAATAATAATAATAATAATAATAATAATAATAATAATAATAATAATAATAATAATAATAATAATATAATAATAATAATAATAATAATAATAATAATAATAATAATAATAATAATAATAATAATAATATAATAATACAATAATAATAATAAATACCATTATAACAGCAAAAGTAATAATAAATAATTATGACAATGATGGTAATAACAATATTAATAATAGTAATAACATTCTATGATAATTATTAAAATTCTATGATATTATAATAATTAAAGGTGATAATGATGAATATGATAATTAAAAATGATAATGATAATACAACGCCAAATATTATAACAGTATGCATTCATCTGTGTTTAATTAATCATTTAAAATACGTACTTTTTTTTTTTCAATTTTAACAGATGGCTAATAAATAGGCGAAAATTTTCTTATGAAAATCTATTATTTAAAGAAATAAAAAATAGGAAAATTTAAAATTACGAAAAAAAAGAATGAAAATTTAAAATTATTCCATCGCAATATTTTAATGGCTATCATTAAAATTTATTAAAATTGGTTTTATTGTTATAACTGTTAAAAATGAAAGAATACACACTGATAAAATGTTATTGCATAGGAATGCAAAATTTATTCTTGTTTTTTTATCAGCATGAATTTTTTTTTGTTTGTCTTTTATGATAACAATAATAATACATTATATAATTGATCAGTTAGTTTGTTTGTTTATTAAACCCATACTTAAAGTTAATTATTTTTTTATATATAATAATTTCAAATACTGTTTTTTCTCATTTTTTTTTTACTCTAATTAGTTTTCATTAATTAGACCATACTTAAATTTTTTTGTGTGGAATACATTTTAAACTAACTTTTGAAATGTTATAAAATAAACGTAGTTTTTTTGTTTCGTTTTTTCTTTTCCTTCTTGATGAGTGATATAAAAAAAGAAAAGAAAAAGAAAGAAGCAATTCTAAAAATAAAACAATAAACAATTTACTAATTAAGCTTTATCAATAGCAACCGTAATTTTTTCATTAAACAAATTATGAATGAGAGTGAAATAATGTTTTATTTGTCAAACACTTGAATTAAAATTAAAATACACATTAAATCAATATAATTACTAATTCACATTTGCTCTTATGAACAAATCTCATTTTTTGATTAAATCTTTTTTCTTTTTTTGTTAAACAGGTTTTGGAGATAATTTTTAATTATCTGAAAGAAAAAAATTTTCTTTTCTTTTCTGTTTTTAATAGATAAAAGAATTTGAAATTGATAGCTTGTTTCTATCAAATGCCACCTGTTAGCTTTATCAGCACCTGTATCATTCGATGATTTCAAGTCTTTCCTTTGTATCACTAATTGTTGTTATTTGTCAATTTGAAATTGGTTCATTTTTCGTTTTCTTTTATGTTTACTTATGCAATTTACTCTTCAAATATTTTTCTATTTATTTGTGAAAATTTTCTTTGTTTTTTCACATTTTCAGTAGTATTTACATATGGTTTTTAGTTCTTTTTTTTTTAATTTCTGTTTTATTTACGATATTTTCACATCTATTACTTAATTACTTACTAAGTTATCTATTTACTTACTTACTTACTCCTAGTAGATAAATAATTAATTTACTGTAACAAATAAATGCATTAGATGTGGATTTATATATGTTCTTTTTTTTTGAAAAAATATATCAGAAAGATAAAGTTGATAAAATGTAATGTTTACATTTCTCTTTGACTATCATTTCATTTCCTAAATAATATTTAAACAATGAAGAAAGCAATGATAAGCAAAAAAATAGTTGGAATTATAATTGGTTGAATAGAATTCCTTCTATTACTTTATAATTGATCATATAATAAGGTAAAAGTTATGAGTAAAGTTATGTACGATAATGAATTGTAAAAGTGGAAAAATATTTTTGCATAGATCATAGAATATATAGATTAGAAATAAGTGATAATTATATTAATTAGAAAAAAAAAAAGAGAAACAAAAGATCATGATCAATTATTTCAACTTCTTATCTGTATATTAATTACTTTCTTATCACGAATTACAATAAAAAATAATTAGTAAATAAACAAAATTTTACCACTTTTAATTAATCCGTTGAAAATATTAAGCATTTTACAAAGTTATAAGATAATAAAAATTTTACTCAGCATATGTTGAAACTTTTTGAAACAAATGTTTCGTTTTGCAATTTGACAGGCTTTCTTTTTCTTTCATTTTTTTTTTTTCACATATTGTGATCAGATTTTAAAGATTTGACTTCTTTCGTTAGTAACTTTTATCGATTTAACATATCTTTTGTTTTCATCTTCCTCTATTACGTTTCAAATAAATTGATTTAAATTAATTTTAATATTTTTTTCATTCCAAGATCTTTGTTGATTTAGAATTTGGAACACGAGTGTCACCTTTTAAATCAACACGAACTTTCGAGATCACAAAAATACGAATTGCAACGTTTCATTGATCAAAATTCCCATCTTCTACGTTCACCAAGTTCACAAGGTATGTGCTTAATTTTTTGTATTTAAAAATTTTCCCACTTTTAAAATAAATTTAGTTTTACAAAAATAAATATTTGATTTTTGTGAATTCTAATTAACAATTTCTTTGTTAAAACTTTTTTATTATTTTATTAAATTTACGTCTCAAAGTTTATGCTATAATTCCTGGCAAATATATTTTTTTTTTTAGGTAAGCTTGCTGCAATTTTCAAAAACTTTTTGTTAATTAATCCTATTTCTTTCCAATTAATTTTATTCCCTCTTAATGAAGAATGTAAGTGAAAAAATGAATTTTACAAAATCGTTAACTTTTTGTTTCTAATTATTTTAATCTGGCAATTTTGTTAGATGGTTTAATCTTTCCCAATGCATAATGGTCCATTGATTTAACTTTAAAAAAACAAAAATTATCATTTATCACATCATAATCATTAATTTTTTTATCAAAATTATTCCCCATGTTTGTTTTATTGATGATTTTTATAAATGAATTTAATCTAAATAACATTAATATATGAATGTTTTTTGTAGATTATAACAAAAAAAAAGACGCTTCAAATTTAAATAAAAATGTTAAATGTTAAAAATAGATAAGTATTAAAATTAAATTTAGATTAAATTTTAAATAAAAATAATTGAAAAAAATTTTTTTCTTTCTTTTTTTCTCTCTCTCTTTTGCAACAGGAACAGGTGACTCATCAATTTGGACGAAAGATAAAGGAGAGGATCGATCCAATCCGTATCAGCGAAACTACGGAACGTTATCCATATCATCATCACCACCCAACAGAAGGTAAGAAGAAATCTAATGTGTAATTTTGTTTATCCTCATAGACATCAAACTTCTTTAACTCATCTTTATCTTACTTCATATGAGAATATGTTATTGATCATTGATGTTTATTGAATATTTCAGTTGGATAAAATTATAATAGAAAAGATTTCATCAAAAATTTTATTAATTTTAATAAAAATTTAGCATTATGTCATTGTGATATTTATATTTTCATTTTTTTTTTTTTTTACGATTTTACATTTCTCTGTGAATTTTCGTTTTGCTCTTTTTGGTTTTTTTTTTTTTTTTTTTTTTTTTTTTTTTCTTCTCTCCAAACATTATAAATTAGTTTAAATAAAAATAATAATAAAAAAAAAATATCAATTATTGCTAAATAATTTAAAATCATTTTATACAATTAAAAATTTCTTAAAATTATTAAATTACCAATGAATATGTGTATTTTGTTGAGAAAAAAAAAAAATTTATAGTAGTAGGAAGGAAGTAAAGTGGTCAGACGACGTGTACCAATCAACAGGACCAATCCGTCAAACATCTTCATTATCACCGAACTGGTCTACAACGAACAATCATTTGAAAACTTCCGACAGTTTCGACGATTTTTATAATTTGTATAATAATTACAACAGTGGTAATAGCAGTAGCACAAACACAATGTCATATTATGGCAATACTGGAAACATAAATAGAGGTCGTGATAATCACTTTCCGGAATATAGTCCAACTAGCAATTATCAATCATATGGAAAGCATCCGGTATATTTTATTGTATTTTCTAAAAATTTTTTTCAATAATTTCTCTTATTTGTTTCAATTTCATTTTTTTTTTTTTTTAATAAAATGTTTATCATTTAAAAATGTATTAACAATTGAAATTAATAAAATTTAAAAATAATAAAACATTTTAAATGATTAATGCTAAAATATTGAAAGCTAAAATTATAGGATGATTATAATCGATATGAAACAGCACGTTCTCGAAGTCATACATTACAACGACAACGAGAAGATGATGAAAGGAGTCGATTTTCGGGATATGGTGATCGACCGGGTTCTGGTGTAGAATTTATGCCTACAAAATGGCATGGTGGTGAGGTAGGTATATTTATGATTACTCTCATTAAGATTTTTACTTTTTAGCTTTAACTATTTTTCTTTTTTTTTTTTTTTTTTTTTGAGTCAAATAATCTTATGTTAATGATGTTCTTTCTATCTTTCCTTCTTTTTTTTTTTCCTTTTAAGATTATTACTGATCCGGAACATTTGCCTCGCTCACTAAAGCCACGTCGTTTGTATTATTCACCGATTGGTGATGGTGTTGTCGCTGCAGATGGTGTTGAATTGAAACGTGCACCAAAAGATATGTCACCAAAAATTACGGTGACACATAGCAGAACGTTGGATAGAGGTGAATCTGGCCATGATGGTTACAATATCTATGCTCGTACAACAACTCATGGTTGGTCTCTATTAAAAATTAAGATAGAAAATTTTAATAAAAATTAAAATAGAGAAGTTTAAAGACTATATTTTTTAAATGATTGTCTGTTATTAGCACTTTTCCTAATGGATACTGTTTGTTTATACTGTTCAAGTATGAATGTTTTCTTTTTTCCTACCCATCTTAATTACTTAATAAAATTGCAGTTGTGGGAAATATTTTAAATTTAAATAAATTCACCTATCCATCGTTACAAGATTTATTGTAGATTTTCATGCATAAATTTAATTAATAATGGTAATATTTGTATTTTTCCTCTTTTTCTTAAACCACTTCACACTATTTTTAGCCTCCTAATTATTACCGATTCATTCGAAAACGTTTATTTACTTATTTTTATTTGTATTTAATTGAATTGGGTAAATTTAGATTTAGGAAATGATTATGGAAGTGATATGGGTGGAAGTGGACGTGATTCACGACTAACAGGTGGCATATCACCAGGTTTTTATCATAAAATATAATTTTAACTTTTCCATACAAAATTTTGAAATCATGTCGTTTTTCTTACCATCATCATTTATTAATGTTTTTCACTATTTTTGGATAATTTCGAGGTGCTTCAAGAAAAAAAAAAAAGAAATTGAATAACTATCTGATCAAATTCTGACATATTTTTATCAAATTGAAAAATAAAAAAAAACATTTGAATAGAAAAAAAACAGATATGAAATGATAAATTTATAGGTAGCGATTCATATGGACAACAAAGTGGTGTTAGCCCTGGTATGAGTTATGGTGGACGAGATTCTGATTATAAAAGACCAGGAAGTGGTGCTGGTGGTGGTGCTGGTGGTTATAGCACTGGTAGTGGTGGTGGTAGTACACCATTTGGTCATGGAAAAGATTATTCAAGTGATACTGGATCAGGTGATATTGGTTATCCAGGTGGTCGAGGTGGTTATATCGGTAATTCCGAAATTTTCATCTAAATCTTTAAATATATCACATTTTTCAGCAATATTACAGAATTGTGTATGCTGTGTTTTTTTTTTTTTTTTTTTTTTTTTTTTTTTAATTTGATTTTAATCTTTTTTTTTTTGTGCACACTGTAGAAATGGCACTTTTTTGTTGTTGATTTGACAAATTAGTATAGATAATAGAAAAGGATGCGATATTGATAAGGATTATGATATGGAATCACCTAAATCAGGTGTAGGTGGATATGGTTCGGGAATACGTGGTACGAATAGTTATGGTACTGAATCACGAAATATGATTTCACCAAATTATCGCTATGATTCACCAACTGCAACTGCAACTTTTCAACATTCACCAGCTTATCATGATTCACATAATACATTTGGTTTTACATCACAATCTGATCCATTTGTGAGTGATAGAGGTTTGCATTTAGAACTTTTATAACATTTAAAAAAAAAAAAGGCGAATTAAAAAAAAAAGAACAAGAATTATATATACTTCACTTAATTCTAAAAAAAAAAAAAAAGTTTTTTTCTTTTTTTTATTTAATGCTAAAGTTTAAAATGAAAATTGTTAATTTTTTTTTTTTTTTTTTTTTTTGCGGTTTGGCTATATTTAAATTTTAATGAGCAATAAATGTGAAATTATAGTTTATTCTTTTGAAAAAATGATAATATTTCTACCAATTTTCCCATCGTAACTTTCCATTTCGCTATAAAAATTGAATTTAATTGAATAAAATTTGCATGCATTAGAATCCTAACATATTAAATTTGATTAGTCATAGTAAAGTAATAATTTAAACATAATTTTTGTTAGAACTTATTGAACGCACTTTAATATATTATCTAGCTGTTATGCATTTTGTTCGGTTAATCTTTTTCATTTTTACTTTCTTTTTTTTTTTTTTTTTTTTTCTAAATTTGTATAGTTTGTGAATTAGTAATTTGACGCGAGTGGTTTGAGATTTTGGTTTCTTCGTTTGTTTGTTTTGTTTTGTTTGTTTTGTTGAATATTTGGTTGGTTAAAGGTCGTTCTCAGAGTGTTGACTTACTAAACGGACATCATGACAGTTATGGTGATTACGGATTTAAAAACGATGGTCGTTTAAGTGGTATGTTAATTAGGACAAACTATTATTTGTCTTTTCTTCTTTTTTCTTTCATTTTTTTTCCCTTTTTTCTTTTTCTTTTTCTTTATTTTATTTTTTTATTTTTTAAAAAGAAGTAATAACATAAAGGTAGATGATGGATTGTAAAATTTGTAATATATTTTCAATAATTTTTGTAGATGCAAATTTGCCATAAATAAATAAATTGTAAATTGTAGAATCATCCGCATTACATGAATCAGTCAAATCAGAACGATATCATAAATTTGATGTAACGAAAGATTATTTGATAACAAATCCACGTGAATTAATACATCAATATGCAACAACAACTCCAGTTTCTATACTAGAAATACCTGAAACATCGCGTACGGTTAAAAAAATGTATTCATCAACAACGGAAGAAAAGTAAAATTTTACAAATTTATTAAAAAATTTTCTTTTTTTTTTTTTTAAGGATTATAGTTATGCTAATATATTTAAAGGGCTATTACATAGCTTAATTATTTTTAGTCTAAATCAGGTGATATTTAAGAGGATTAAATCATTTCAAGAACCAACAATGCATATGTTCCAACCATCAGCTTATAGATGAATCAAGATGACAAATGTCATATGTTAGCTGAATAAAATCCGAAATAGTTATCAGTATTCGAAGCAATAATCAATTTTAAGAGTTTGAAAGATAATTTAATTTGCCTGATTGAGATGATATTGGTTAATTCGAGGCAGTTTTGATAATATTTGGATATAAAGGTTTTAATTTTTTTTTAAACCAATAAAAATAATTTAATTATCAGGTATGTACCTTATCCACCTTATAAAGGTTCCGATGCTGTTGTTCATCCAAATAATTTCGTTCGTCAACTAAGAGATGAAGGTAAAATTTCAAATTTTGTTAACTTTTTTTGTTATCACATTAAACTTATTTTAACGTTTCATTATACGATCAATCAAAAAAAAAAAAAAAAAAAAAAGAAAAAATTGGTATGTTTTTGTCGACAAAAAGAAAAATAAATTATTAATTCGAAATTAATTTGACAAAAAACAAAGAAACGAAAAAAGAAAGCTAAATGTTACAATAATTATCACACAATTAATTTTACAAATTTTGATCGAAATAAAAATTTTATAGGATTAACCGTATCGCAACGTGAAGCAAACAGGCATCAAAATCCTCTGACAACCGATAATCCAGAAATTGCGCACAAAATTTCGGAAATACGTAAGGAAACAAGTCGAGCAGCACCAACAAACAAAGAAATTGATCATCTAACTGAAAAAATGATGTATAATTTACAGAGCGGGCCATCAACATCACTGCATTACTAAATTAATTATTCATAAAATTAAAAAAAAAAAAAGCTAACCTTTGACCTTTACTCTATTCATCATTAATGCAATCATAATGGTATGAATACATAATATCACAAAATCTATCCTAAAATTATAATTATTATTTTGAATATTAAAAAAAAATTTTTTTGAAAAATAAAATGAATAAAAGTAATGATTTTGTTAAAAACGAACAATGCTTTTGTTAATAGTTTGACAACTCAAAATATGTATATAAATCTTTTTTTTTTCAAAATTTTTGAAACTTTTTTTTTTGTTTCTAATAGACATATAATTACTCTGCACTTGGTTTTTTTTTGTTTGATTTTTTTTTAGTTAAAAAACAAACATTTGGTTAATATGTAATATTATTTTCAAGCAAAAATTTCCAATTTTTTTTGAGAAAAAATTAAAGTTCAAACAAATTTCAAATATTTGTATAATTTTTCATATAATTTAAAGCTTCATTTTTTTCTCCTAATGTGATACTATTATTCCTTTAAAAAAAATAAAAAAATATAAAAAAAAAAACTATTTTTTTTCATTTAGCTGTCAAAGAAATAAATTAATTCTAAACACTTCTCTTTTCAATTCTCTTCGAAAATTAAAATGAAATCAGAATCAAATTTGAATTTATATTTTCTCATAGAATAGTCGATTAATTTTTAAGTTCCTCTAGTCGATGAAAAATTTATTTTATCCATGTGGTATTATTATAAGGTTCTAAGGTTGAATAATTGCAGTGTGCAAAATAAAAGATTTGTCTCATTGTATTGCTTTTCATTTGAATCTATACAATTTCAATCAATTAATTGATTAATTAATTGATCATATAATTATTAATCGTTCTGAGAATTTCAAGTTCAAATTTTATTTTTCTTTTCTTTTTCTTTTTTTAAAGTAAATGTAACAAATATAAATAACATAGTCAAAATTTCTCGATGGGAATAATCAATACAATCTAATTATAATATTATTTTAGATTTCAAACTCGAAAAAAAAAAAAAAAAAAAAACTAAGATAAAAAATGCAACAAAGTTAAACAAATGCTTTTATTTACCTTTGTTTGAAGATAATCACTCGCCTATACAGTGCAAAGTGCGATCATCTCATTGAATTTACTTCTTCAATTCCGTAAAGTTCAAAAAAAAAAAAAAAAAAAACGAAAACGAAAAGCGCAGAAATTAATTGAGTCATATATCTTCAAAGTTAAATCATTTCACTTAAGCATGCAACAATATGCATTAGAGAAAAAAAGAAAGGTGGAATTTAATTTTAGATTAAAATTTAAAATTTGATCAATAAGAAAAAGAAAAAGGGGCTTACCCAATTTTGAATAATTATGAATTTAATCATATCATTCTTATAACATAATGATATCAAATAAATTATGATTTAAAAAAAATTTGTCGTTGAAGTTCGTTGGTTTTCCCAGAGTTTGAAAGGCCAGTAGGAATAAAATTGTTTACCCACGTGCCTAACAAACCCAGGAAAGCATTATCGAACATTTGTTCAATTAACAAGGAATAATAATTATTATTTCTATCCATTTATAAATCAAAAATATTGCAATTAATATTTACACATTTTATTACTTTAAACATTTAAACTACAATAAGTCGTATTAAAATTTATTTACAAATAACGCTATATATATATTTTTTTTCATTTTTAAAATTATACAAATTAGTGGGAAATTTTGATTCCAAGTTTATATGAAATAATATCATATCTTTTTTTCTTTTTAATTGTAAATAAATATTTGAAAGTGATGACAAAATATTATAAATATAAAATATTACACTATATATACATATATATAGATATATGAAAAATAAATAAATAAATGTTATTAATTGAGGTAAGATATTGTTAAAACAAATGCATATGCAAATATAATTCATATGATAAATTAATATTATCATATCATATCATTTTCTTTTAATAGCAAATAGATATTTGAAGATGACGGGAAAATATTGCAGAAACTAAAGATGTCGAATAAAATGGTGATGATAGAAATATGCTTTTTGCAAATTGATACATTAACAAAGAATGAAAAGATAGTTTTTTTTTTTTTTTTCCTTTTCTGTTTTTTATTATTTTTCATATTTTTTTTTATTCATTTTTGAAAACAAAGTTGCTTGATAGCATAATTGTATTTTTGTAACATTTTTAAGTTCTTTGATTTAGAGAAAGAGAAGGAAAGAGGGAGGAAGGGAGGAAAAAAGAAGAAAAGAAAACATTTTTGAATTTGTTAAATTTTAGTTGTTTATTCATTCTCATCTTATAGAGTTAGCATAAGGAAACTTTTTTTTTTCTTTTCATTATATAAATATTTATAAATATTGAAAAGAAAAGAATGATAAGGAAGATGGAGGAAGATTGGAAGAGGAAAAGGAAGATGAAAAAAAAAAAAAAAAAAGAGAAAAGGAATGATTCAAAATTGAAATAATTTTTCTTTCTTTTTTTTTTGAATTAACAAAACTATATGTTATTACTAATGTATTTTTGCTGTATTTTCTCTCTTTTTTTCTTTCTAACTTCTGAAATACTTCAAAAAAAAAAAAAAAAAAAAAAAAAGAAATGATTATCGATGATTGATGAGATCATTTAAAATGAATTCAATTGGTTATTTCTATGGAAGCAAAAAATTAACAAACAAACAAACAAATAGTAAAAAAGTGAAAGAATGAAAGAAAGGAAGCATAACTGTTGCAACTGGTTTTTGTTAAATAAAATTGAATTATTAAAAAAATGTTTTTGTTTTTTTTTTCCTCATTTTGCCCTTTCCTTCTCCGTTTCTTCTGTATCTTTTTTGTTTTTCTTTCTTCTCCTTTTTTTTTTTTCTTTTTTTGCTTGTTTTTTGATATTCTTGATAAAACACACAAAAAAAAAAAGAATCTAAAAACATTTAATATATTTTAAACAACAAACCTTTTTGTGTTTTGTTTTCTATTTTTTTTTTTTTTTTTTTGTTTTTTTGTAAAATGTTAAAATATCAATTGTTAATTTACCATTTATTATTATTTTAATTATCATTATTATAAAAACAAACAAATTAATACAAAATCAAACACATATATCGTATTATTATTAGTTTGTTTATGCCTTTTTTCGATGTTTTAGCTAAAGAGCAAAAAAAAAAATTTAAAAAATTAAAGCGAACTAAAAATTTTTTTGTTAAAAATTATTGTAACTAAATGTTATAATGACATAATTTATATACATATTTGTTTATATGTATTGCAATTTAAAATCGAATATAAAAAAGAAAAAAAAATGTATAAAACAATGATAACACTTTGTTTAATGATTTGTTTTAAGATAATAGAAATCATAATTTTAAAAGTTTACCAAATTAATGCAATTCTTTTGTTTTTTTTTTTTTCTCGCTGATAATTTTTTTTTCTCATACAATTAAAATGTTATTCTTCAATTTTTATTGAAATGAAATTAAAATTAATACAAAGTATTATAGTTGTTTGCTAAAATTTAAATGGAAAATTTTCTTTCTTTTTGTATTTTCCCTTCTTCATCTTATTTCTATTCTATAATTATTAGCGTTAGCTAAAAGAATTTTTTGCTAATAATTCATAATACTTTTCGATATGCTTGTACAATGTTGAAAATAAATAAAAACAAAAGAAACAAACTTTTTTTTTATGTTTTAACATATGCAACTTTTAAAATATGTGAAAAAGATATAAAATCTTTTAAACGTTTTCATAAAAATGCGTTAATATTTTGAAACTTTTTTTCTTGTGCGCTTAAAAATAAGTCATTTCTTTTATATCACTTTTTGTTTTCTTTTATTTTTTATTTTTCATTTGCTTATTTATTCTTTTTTATTTTTGAAGTCAGACTGACATTAACGTTTTGGAAAAGAAAGGAAAGAAAATGTATCATTACGATCATTCCACCATTAAAATTTTCTTCCTTTTTTTTTTTGCTCTTAGATTGAAATAACCAAATCTGATTGTTTAGTATATTATGATGATGTAATAATAGAAAAGAATACAGAAAAATGATTTTAAAAAGAAAAATTTTTTTTAATTGTAAGTTTTTGATCAATAATTAATATCAAATTATTTTTTATATAATTTCTTACATAATTTGATGATAAATAGTTTTGAGCTCTTGGAAAAAAAAATTTATTAAATTTTGAATAATTTTTTTTTTCTTTTTTTTTTTTTCATATCAAAATATTAGCGATTAATTTTTCGTCCGTTAATTTTCTTTTATTTTTTTTTTTTTTTGTTGTTGAAATCAGTTAATTAGTTTTGCTCTGTTCTTTTATTTCGAAAAATATAAAAGAAACATAAGAATATGGTTATATTGGTGAAAAATTTTTTCTATTTGATTTTTTTTTTTTTTTTTTTTGCAATAATAAAATAAGAAAGGAATTTGTAAGCGAAATATAATGTTAAAAAATTTTTACGATTTGAAATTTATCATTTTTTTTTTTTCATCATTCTTTACATGGATAACAATGAAAATTTGATTCATTTTTCTCTTTTTATAATTTTGATTAATTGTAAAGTATTTTCAATAAAATAACTGTGCAAATATTTGTAATATTAATGTAAACTGTTTGTTAAAATGTTAAATTTAACATCTGTTATGGAAATACTTCCTTAGAATTAAAAGAAAAAAAGGAAGATTGTTTGGCTAAATTTTAATTTTGAAGTGATTTTTAAACATATTATGTCTTATAATTATTATCTTTCATATGTAAATTAAAATCTTGATTAAGAATTATGAAGAAGAAATCAAAATTTTTGCCCGAAATTATTTTTTTACCTTTTTTTATTCATTTTGAATGACATATGGTTAGCAATAAAGTGCATATGGTAATTAATTAAATGATACTTTAAAAGAAATAATTATAGATCTTATGAGATATTATATTAAATGTTGCAGAAAATTCCGCTCAAATGAAATTCTTTATTACTTATAATATTTAATCGCAATTTTCATTACAAAAATGAAATTAT